ATGACAAAACATTTTTTACAAATTAATCTTAGCCATTAACACAAAAATAGCGAATTATTAAGTAGAAAAATGTAAAGAGAAAAGACAATAAATAAATAGATTTTAAGTGTTTAAACTGATACATGCTGAAAGAATGGAATTAAAGCACCATGAAATATCATTTTCTGTTCCATCAAAGCAGGAAACTGCAGTGCAAAACACCTATTGTTAGTGGGAATAAGATTGAGGAGTGTTGTAGTCAGGGGTTGTACACAGAGAACCACTAGGATTAAGACATGGAGTTTTTTAGTATTTTTATAATGGTCATCAGGAGGTAACACAGGAAAACGCAGGAAATCTCTCTGCAACACCAAAGACATAGATTTATTTAGTCAAGAGCCTAAACCCCATGGCAATGTCCCACATGAGTCCAGATAAAAATCCAGAGCTCAGGACAATGCCTCCACGAATCCAATTAGAGGTCCAGAGCCCACAAGGACTCATGCCAGTCTCTTTTACGGATCCATGCCGGGAAGACCCAAGCACAGTCGGGTACATGCCAGGAAGCAGCCTGATGAGTTCATCCTGGAGACCAGGCAGCACATGTCTTCCCCTCCGGAGGCAGGAAGCAATGCTCCATGTGAAGACCAAAGCTTCTCCAGGAGAACCAACAGCTCAGACAGCAACTCGGAGGAGAAACCACAATGCCTCCTTACCGCCTCAATCCTCAACACCTCCCTTCTTCTCCACCTATTTATCCTGGCAACTTTTCTCAGGTGGAGCATCTTCGCTCAATGCCATGCTGATGTAATCCATCTGGCGCTAAGTTGACAACCAGTTCTCAACCCTTAATGGGGAGGAAGAATAATTCACACATTTCATTTGGCAACTATGAACTATACTCACCCATGTAAAAGGCAATCTTATATATAATATGTTTTAATATGCAAGATATATACACATTTTGTCCACTCTTAGGTATTAATTTCACTGAAACTAAGGGAATGTGTGTTGTATGTATAAGGATGCGTATTTTATTTTTACATTTTTAATTAATTTTAAAATTAATATTTGAGGCATATTATGAATGCATTCATCATGGGGAGCAGGTATATACACATATTACATCGTAGTACTTTTTACTTTTCCCTCCCTTCTCCTTTACATCTCCCTCTCCATCCTTAGCTCCTTTCTCATCTGCTTCCTATCATCTATTCTTTGCTCTTCACATTATTTACACTTTGGGTTTCTGATATAAGTGAAACCATGTGACATTTAACCATGTGCCTCTTTTATTTCACTTCACATTATGGTCTTGAGGAAGGGTAATTATTTTATAGCATTGTCCACAGAGGTGACAAATTAGAGAAAAAATATACATGTGCGTTAATGAAGTATGTAACTGAACGAGTCATGCTGTGTCCATAACCATGGAATAGTTGTCCAGTCATTTAAATGGTTAAGAGATGGGGCTACGGATGCACCGTTTGATTTGAAAATTTTACCAGGTATTGCTGCATATAAAAACCAAGTTCCAGACAAGTGTGGAAATTTTTTTTTAAAAACAGTTATTTATGGCACTTACATTAATATGCGTGTGAGCTTGTCTGTGTGTGTGTGTGTGTGTGTGTATATATATATATATATATATATATATATACGCATATGGGTGTCTACTGCATCTTTCCATTAGCTCTCTCTCTCTTTTTTTTTTTTTTTTTTTTTTTTTTTGGTGGTGCTGGGGATCAAACCGAGGGCCTTGTGTGCTTGCAAGGCAAGAACTCTACCACTGAACCACACCCCCAGCCCCATCTTTCCACCACAAAGGTATCATTTCTCTTTGTAATTAGTAAGAAACCTATGAGACACTTCTGGAAAAACCACATAAATATCCCATCCCACTCCCCAATTACCTTTGTCTTATGGGTTTTACATCCCTTGATGATTTTTGCTTGAATTCATTCTTATAATGGGTTAAAATGAATCTTTTATTATTTCAAATATATTCAAATATGCTTGAAGTATATTGAATCCTTTTTAAAAATATGTTTTGTTGAACAGCAGGTCTTGAGTGCTGGGTGATCTACATGACGGCTTCCTTTCTCTTCAACTTGGCTTGTGTAGACTCAGAATAAAGAGGTTTGCTTCACGCTTGCTCATTTTCTCCACGATTAAACTGAATGCTGTGACATTTTTGTTTTTTCTTAGACTATCAATACTGCCAGAAAAGAATTAGTCAGTGAGACAAGTAAATTATACTTTTGATTTTGGCACCCACATCAGTGGTATTGATTGGTGAAACTTATCAGAATAAAATTATTAATTTGGCCTTTATTTTCTGCTCTTGACAGTTGTGTTTTGAAGTGTCTGCCAAAGTCCGGCCTCAGCGACATTACCAATAAGTTGTATTTTTCTGAGTATGACATTAAAAATCTGTCTCCGTAAATAAATTAGGAAACTACAATACTAGACTCTTCACTGCCTGTTAAATACTTAGATTCTTTGAAAATAAACTAGGCCCTTTTGAGTACAAGTGACTAACACAACATAAATTTATCTCAGTTCAAATTGCATTGTCCAAAATCATTTTTCAAGAAAATTATCATGGGCTAGGGGGTAGTTTCCTGCTAAAGCTTGTGTTTAGCATGCAAAAAATCCTGTGTATGATCCACAGTGCCAAAAAGAAAAAAAACCCACCATATACATGAAAGAATTTTAAAGTTTGTTGTTATATTAAAGATTTAACTGAAAACATTAAGCAAGTTAGCTTTGCGCTTGGAATGAGAATAGAACTTAGATTCTACTCAGAGTTACTTTCGAAGTAATGTCAAAACTCTACACAATCTCAAATTTTTAGTATTTTATCAATGAAAACATGTAATTAAAAAAGAAAATTCTAGGGGCAAGTGTTCTGCTCAGTGGCAGAACATTTTTGTAGCATGCACCAGAGCCCTGGGGTCAATCCCCACCCTACAACACATGCGCAAAGGTAAAATTTTAATCAGAAGGTTTCATGTAACTTAATGTAGGTTAATAGCTATTTTGACATCATGAAAAGTTTTTCAGTTTTTCTCTACTCAAAGTAAAGGTGATTTTAGGTTTATAGTTATATAAAGCAAATGTTTCATATACCAAGATGCTGCAGATAAAACAAAGAAGTCAACTTCAGAGATCTGAGTTTTGGTTCCAGGTCAACTTGTGATAATCTTCTTGGGCCATGGATAGTTGGCTTGTAAAAAGAGGCAATTTAATTATAGAAGAGAACTGTACTCTATTTTCCTCTGTGTGTGTGTGTGTGTGTGTGTGTGTGCGCACGTGTGTGTGTCTGCTTTGAGGCAGGGTCTTGCTGTGTAGTTTAGGCTGGTTTTGAATTCACTGTGTACTGCAAGGCTGGCCTCGAACTCTTGGCCATCCTCCTGCCTAAGCCTCCCATGGGCCAACTTTCTTTTTCTATTAAAATTTAATACTGTTAGGTCAGTGGTACTTGTCTTCTCCCAATGGCACCATGTAATTCATTCATTTGAAAATATGCATCAGACATATATATGTGCCAAGTATTGTTTTAGGCACAAGAAATAGAGATTAAGAAGCTTCTCAAACGTGGAAGAAATACAGTTATACCTTGCTAGCAGAAATTTAAAAAACCTTGTTATATCAAATGAGCGATATTCATCCAAACAATTAATACTGTTTTCCTCATTCTTCCCCTGATAGTTCTCTGGTCACCAGTCATATCCATTCTGCCAAATCTGATCATGGGTCACAGTTTTCAACAACTTGACTTGTCCACAGCATTTGAACCAGTTCCTGTCCTCTTTGGAGCACTTTTCTTCTTAGTTACTGGGGCAATATTCCGTGGTTCTGCTACCTTGATAGCTGCTTCTTCAAATCCTTGTCTATTTTTCCCACTCATTCTGATTTCCAAATACTGGTGGACTCCAACACATACTCTTGGACCCCTTTTATTCTCTTTATTCCCTGAGTGATTTTAAGTTTTAATTATTATGATTCCCAAATTCACATCTCAGCTCTCCTTCTTCCTTGAACTCTGGAATCATATATTCTACTTAGAGTACAGTCCAAATATCAATCTCTCCTTTGCTTACTTGGGGACCCATATTTGCAACAGAAGAGTTATGGGAGAGCATGTTTTGGATCAACATCTGTCATAGATGAAAATGAGGGAATCAGCTGTGAGATGCAAAATTGATGTGTCACAGCAGGACTTGAGCTGACCCTCAGACTTGTGCCAGTTGTAGCGAGAAAATTGTAGCATGAGATGGACTGATTATTGGATTTGGGCTGCCTTCAGTGAGGAGGAAAACCCCCTTCCTAGAATGAGCTCTGGAGAGGATTCACTGTGAGCCCTCAGCAGATAGCATTCATAGTAGCTGAGAAACAGGGACTTCATCGTAAAGGGGAGTGTGGATAGCACTGTACAGCTCCCACACCACGCTGTGTCTCCCTGTTTCACACACACACACCACTGTCCTTTTCTTACTTACCTTTGTTTATTCTCAAAATATATACTACATGTTTTTGAATATTTAGTGACTCATTATTCCCTGCTAGACTATAGCACTATGAGAGCAGAAGTTGTTTCTCTTTCATTTTTAAATTCTATCTTTCCAGTATCTAGAAACTGTGCCTGAAACATAGTGGGCGTCCAGTAAATATTATTTGATGATTAAGTAGACTTAGCACCTGGCTACTAAATACTAGGGTCCATGTTATGTTCATGGAATAAAAAGGTAAACAAGATAGGCCCCATCCTTACCCACAGGGAGTTTACAATCAAGTAGAAATTAAATTACTTTCACATACAGCACACATGAGCAATACATATTTATTATGATTTTTATGATTTTTAAAAGCATAATTGGAGCCAAATAATGTTATATAATATTTTATTAATTATCTAAATTTGGCATATCTGCTAGTGTATTACACAAAACTTTTACTGAGTAAAAATTATAAAAATCCTTAATTAGTTATTTATCATGCCTGCTAATTTTGGGAAAGAAAATTTATGTTGCCAAGATACATGCTTTTTGCCCAGTTTAGCACCAAAGAACAGGGGACAGAATAAAACCAAGACTAAGCAGAAAATAATTTACTTAACTGAAATTTTTATTAATCCACATCCTATTATCTAAAATGTAAGAAAGCAAGGCTACAATTATATCTAAATAGATAAGGGATAAAATGTTTTGTGATGAATGGATAATTTGTAGTTATTTTACACATACAAATATAACTATTCCATTACTTTGGTTTCAATGGCAGCTAAATGTAATAAAGACTAGGAAATAACATTTTAGCTTTTATGTCATTATTGTAAAATCACAGACTCATTTTTTAAAAAGCAAGGCATCTCCCTAAAAGCTATTTTTCTGTTCTCTATAGCATATTTTATTTCCTTTCACAGCCACTTAAATAATTCTATATTATAGAGTTTCAGCAAGATTAATGACTGTTCCTTTTTTGCCTAGTCTATCAAAAATGTGAAAGCCTTTCAGTCTGTGTTTTCTCTGTGGTGGTGAATGTGGCAATCAACATTTCAGTTCTTGGTTTAACATAAACAAGATACTTGGCATTTCTAAAATAACTTCTATGGGAAATCTCAGATTGCTATGGATCTGTGAATTTGCCAGTCTGCTTGCTAGAAATCTTGCCCATTGCTGTTAGAACGCAGGTGTGGTAAACTGGACGTGATTGAGGCAATTTCCCAATATTCTGTATGTCACTTCATCCTCTGAACAAAGCAAGCCTTGAGAATATCCAACCCCATCAGAGTTTCTACCTTAAAATAAAAAAAAAGAAAAGTAAAATTTTTTTCATGTTTATGAATAAAACCGCTGGCCCCACTGTTCTCCACACAATTTGATGTGGTCCTATGTTGTTATAGTTTGTATCTAGATGTCCTCTGAAACTCTCATGCTCTCATAGCTGGACCTAGGATGTCTGTTAGTAGGATTAAGGCGTGTGGTACTATGTTAGTTCACTGACTGGCATTAGCATAGGTTTGAATATGGATAATGGGAAGGCCCAACCTGGATGATGTCACCACCCAAAATACAGCCTGGATGGGATAAAAGGGAAAGGGATGCTTGCTGCTGCTGCTTGTAATGCTGCTGGGTGCCATCTGCCTGCCACCCCATGAACTGTTTCTCCTCTGCAATGCCCCTCTCCCATGCTTCTGCTTTGGAGTCAGCTGACTATGGACTGAAACCTCTGCAAACTGTGAGCTAAAATAAACTTTCCTTCTTGTAACTTTTGGGTGTCAAGTACTTCGTCTCAGCAATGAAAAAAGCAACCAAGACATCTATTAAAATAAATTTTAGGTTCTCAACGAATTCCTAACTTGTTCACTTTATGTTAATTTGTGGAGCTGTCACTTGCATTATTGAATATTTTTTGAAAAGAATAAATGATTACTAGTCCAGGGATTAATATGCACATCTGGTTTGATTATAACATTGCTGTGATGACTAATAGTTAGATGGCAAAGTCCTTACCACAAGCCTCCTGGGGCCCAGTAAATATTAGAAGCCCACAAATTGTCCTTGTCTACAATTAATGAGCCTTTCTCTTATACTTAGAAACCATACTGTACTCAATTACCTCTAAGCACAGAAAGGCTGCTATAACTCCATACATTTTAAAGCCAGCTGTATTTGATGGAATGGAAGATCCATAGATGGATATCTATTACAGGATTTTACAAAGGAAAGTCATCTCTTACTATAAGTTCAAATGGGCTGATACGGACCCATCAGAACACTTACTGGATGTGACAGAAACCACTCTGACTTGCCTACTACCTCACATACAATTGCTTCACATGTCACCTCTGTTTGTCTCTCAAAACTCTACCCTTCAGCTTTCTTTGAACTTACCCTGGTAAGTTACCCATAGTATAGTCTCCTTATTTTGTGTCCTTTTGTTTCTTTCCTTATTCCAGGCTGCTCACATGAACCAACCAGAGAATATACTTGAAGTGGAATTTAATGATATCTAATGTTTTTCCTATGAAAATTTCAGTTTTCTGTTAATGTTTTGAAAATAAAATTCTTTAAATTTTCTTGATTTAAAAGCTTTTCAGATGTGTATAGATCCTGAATTTTTTTGTTGAGTTGAAGTTGAAAAAAAGATTATTTATTTCAGGTTTGGTTACAATAATTATTTAGGACTAAATCCCTATGCATGGTAGATGTACCATAACTGATGACTGTTCAATGCACGAGTACGGAATTCTTACCAGGAAGCTTACTTAACAGGTGCTCTTGTGGCATGCAGCAAGCTGCGACCCAGAGAGATTTTCATTCCAAAGGCTGCTGCTGTTCATCTGCTTCTGCTCATCTGGACATCAGGATCGTGATGTAGCGATGAGGCAGAGCAGGCCTGGAGGAGATTGGTACACACATTAATATCTAGGAGCGTTGTTTAATCAGCGATCCAAGAACACTGCCCAACACATGTCCAGAGTGACATATACCTCTGTGTCTCTGTTCAGTTGACCCAGGAACAGAGCTTCTGTGAGGGCAAAGTGATTTGCCTGCGGCTGCTGTGAAAACACAGGCCCTGATCACCATGTCTGAGACAGAGCTTGCCATGTCGCACTTCCAACAAGTTTCTGTCCAGTGATGCTACTGCCTGCTCCATGGTTGCACTGAAAGGAGATCTGAAAGCAACAGGGTTTTGCAACCAAACTTCTGTTATCACTCTTCCATTCCTTCCCATTAAGGAACTTTTGTTATCACTCTTCAGTTTCTTCTTGTTAAGGTACCGTTGATAAGCCTCAGCTGCTGGGGCCTGGTCTGTATTCTCTCTGTCATCTGTCCCTAAGGTGTTGGGGGCTTGTTAGTGAAAACACAGTCATTGGTATTAACGTGCTAACTGGGAGCAGCTGTTGGTTGCTAATTTGTGAACCATTTGGATGTTGGCTCTAGGAACTGCATTCTCTGAGGCTTTTGCTTTACTGTAGAAGAATTATTTTTTTGCTCTATGTGTGAGCTGTGTAGCACTATGTTACTTCCTGTGCAGTATCAGTGGTGGTTTCGGATCCTACTCACAGGTAGTGTGTGTTATGTTTTTCACTGAACTCTTACAGAAACTGTGTGATGCACGTAGTTTTAATGTTGTAATTTCCATCTAGTGAATGAGAAAGCTAAGATTTAGAGAAGTTTGGTAACTACTACATGATCACAAAGGTAATACAGGGCAGAAATGGATTTCACATTCTTACATTGTGATTCCAAGTCCTGTGTTTTCTATCACCTTGCTGTAAATTGATTAGGATCTAGCCAATCCCTCTTTTGAAGGGTCTCTGTAAATTTTTGTGCATTCATAATTTTATTTATTTTTCTTTTGTTCTCTTTGGCCCCCTACAGCATATCTTTCTATCTCTAAAGAACTGGCATGAAGAGCAATTTGAAAATCTTGAAATCTGTCGAAAATCTGCTGACTTGTTTGCTAGGACTATTTTCTCTCCTTTAAGGTTGAGTTGATGTTATTTGAAATTAGCACCACTGTAAACACGAGTTAACATGGCATCTTACTAGAGTAGATTGGCCTCCTAATCTAACTGCTGTCCCCATAATAAAATGGAAGATGGCTGGATTGAAACAGAGGCACAGAGGGACAGAACTCTGCGACAGTGGGAATTGGAATGGTTGCAGATTCAAGCCAAGGAATGCCAAGGATGGATGGCTGTTATCAGACTAGGAAGAGGTAAAGAAAGATTTCAGAGTCTCAGAGGACATGGTCTTACTGATACCTAGATTTTAGATTTCTATCCTCCAGAACTGTAGAAGAATAAATTTCTCTTGTTTTAAGCCATCAATTTGTGCTACTTTGTTATAGAAGCTCTAGGAAACTGATACAGATGTGTTATGAGAGTTAGAAAGTAAAACCTCTCAGGAAGATGTAACCTGGGGCCAGCTGCAAAGCTTGCTGGGTGGAAGGTAGCCTCTGGCCAAGTATACACATATACAGTGAACAAACCATGCAACCATTCCCAGTGGCCCAATGGCAGACGCTAGGACCCAAATATCTGAATATTTCCTTTTTTTTCTTTCTCTTATCTTTTTTATCTCTTCCCCGAAGAGCTCCTGCTTCTCCTTTCTCCTTAGGTAGGAACAAACTTCTGCTGTGTCACATCCTGTTATGGTTCCCATGACGCACATCAGATCTCCATGGACTGATTCTACAAAGCTTGCTATCAGGACTAGCATTGCTGTGACCTAAAATAAAGAGACAGACAGATAAAGACAGATGCATTAAGCTAAGCCACAACTTGAATGTCTATAGTAACCATCCTTTGCTATATAAGGAAAAGCCCCCCAAACTTATCAACTGAAAACATTTCTAATCTCCCACAGTTTCTGAGGGTCAGGAATTCAGGAGGAACTTAGCTGGATAGGAGTCTCTCCTGAGATTGCTGTCAAACTGCTGTCCAGGACTCTTATTTCTGAAGACATAACTGGGCCTTGAGGATTCATTTTGAAGCTCACATCCATGGCGGTTGGCAGGGTACTTCAGCTCCTCAGCAGCTTTGTACAGAGCTGCTGAGTAACTCCTGAAGAGCTGCTGAGCTGCTCCTCATAACATGGTGTCCCCTATGTCAAGCGATTGGCAAAAGAGAGACAGTGACTAAAACAGAAGACACAAGCTTTTATAGACTAATCTTACATATGACTCATTATAATTTCTGTAAATCCTACTGGTCAACCAGATCAACCTTCGTACACTGTAAGAGGCCTCCACAAGAAAATAAATTCTGGATATGAGGATTTCAGGAGTCGTCTTGGAGACTGCTACTGCATTGTTCTACCAGTGCTCCCTAATAGGAACGGAACTGACATTTGAGCAGGACAATTCTTTGTTGGGTAGAACTGTCCTAGGCATTGTTAGACAGTTAATGTACCTGAACTTGACCTACTAAATGCCAGTAGTACTTCACTCTGATAACCAGAGTGCCCAGAGTGCCCAGCACTCAGGAGGCTTTATCTGGTACATTAGTCAAGAGAAGCTAGATTCTGAGCACTCACCTGAATAAAAATTATATCAGTTTATTGATTTCAAAAATACTCAAACTGTTGCATTGTCACCTCTGAGGCGGACAGTTCTATGAATAGAGTGCTGTAGAGTGCTGAATTTGCAGTGAGGAAGGAAGGATACATTTACTTCCTCTTCTACCTTTTTGTTTGCTAACAGTCTGGAGCAAGTTACGAAACAAACTGAATCTGTGTATTAGTCAGCTTTCCTGTGGCTGGGACCAAATAACCTGATACAAACAATCGAAACAAGGAGAGGTTTACTTAGTCCATGGTTCCAGAGGATTCAGTTCATGCTCTGCTGATTCCGAGGCAGAAACATCATAGTGGGAAATCATGCCGAGTAAAGCTGCTTAGTCCATGAATTCTGGGAAACAGAACTGGGAAACAGTGCTGGTGAGGAAAAGATGGGGAACAAGATGTCGAACTCAAGGTCGTGTCGCCTAGACTCACCTAGATACTCACAAGTGTGCTCTGCTGTCTGCTGGCTGGATCCACCTGTCCATTTGATAATCCACCTGCATCCTCACTCTGTGAATGGGATGTAATACCATTTACCTCACAGGGCTCCCAAATAGAAAGGTTACATAAATAAGGCGGAGAAACAAGGCACCCTTGAACCACACACAGGCTTACCCTTTCAAGAGAAACTCCAGTGTTCCAGACCCTGGAAGCTTAGACTTTCCAACAGAAGGGTCTCACAGGAGCAGACTAGTGCTCCTGGGCCTACAGAATGGGCCAGAATTCCCTTGAACAAGACAATCAGTGCAAGGCTTGGCCTGTACCTTCAAAGAGGCCAGCGTTTTCCTAACTACAAGGTGAACACTGGACTTTGTTTTAGGTATATTTATATATTCCTTCTATCTTGCTGCCTCCCTGGTCACTGGCCAAAGTTTGAGTCTCTTGAAACTACTATTTCCTCCCATTCATTTTTTCTCTGTTCTGGGATCCTTTTTCTTCTCCTTTTGAGTGCCTCTTTCTTTCTTTCTTTCTTTTGAGAGGAATGCCTCTATCATACATCTTTCTCTGAACTTGTTCTGCATTTCCCTGATGCCTGGTTTTACTCCTGAACTTGGTGATCCTCTATAGCTTTCTTAAATAGTTTTTTCATCAAAATTTTCAGGTAAGAGCTGGGTGCAGTGATGCATGCCTGTAATCCCAGCACTCAGGAGGCAGAGGCAGGAGAATTTAAGGCCAGCTTGCACTACATAATGAGACCCTGTCTCAAAGCAAAACAAAACAAAACACTCAGGTAGAACTTTCTGCCCACAAGTGTTTGTCTTCAGGTGTTTGGACTGGAAAATGCAGCTTGAGAAAGCCACTTGACTTTCTGGAACAGTGTACTGTAGTCCAGACTCAGTCTCCTATCACCTATCAGCACTGCCTTCAGCTCCTGTTTCATCTCTCGCTATTTGTCATCTCTCTCCTGGAAGCCTCCCGACATCTGTCACGGCTTTTCCTCCGCTGAACTCAAGCCACCTGCCTCATCCATGTGCACTTAGATCTCAGCCTTACCTTCAGGTAACCTGGGCTGCTGCTTCACAGGAAAATGGAAGACCCAGGTGAGAACCATACAATTTTCTTCCAATCTGCTCTATATTTCTGCTCTACCTTCTTCTCAGATTAGCTTTTCCCTGTATCTTTGAGCTCATCATTTTGGGTTTCCTCAGGAACTTCTCTCCAAAAGTGATCTCTCTCTGCTATGTTCCAGCATTTTCACTAGGTTCTTCCCATTTCAATGTCCTCACATATCTTTCATCTTTAAAAACAAACAATCCCCCCCAAAACCCTCTCCTTCCTCTGACTCTTCCCTCCCCTCCTGTACCTCCTACCTTTCTCCAATTCCTCTCCTTTCCCTCACAGGCAAAGTTCTTGAAATAACTGTTCGCATTCTCTATGGTGTCCTTGCCTCCCTTCTCTCTTGCTGACTATAATCTTCAGCAACCGCTTTCATCTAGGTCATCACCGCTGCCCTACTCATGCTAAATCTACTGAACTCTTCTTGTTTCTTACTTGACTTAACCTTTCAGCATTGGACACTGTTCTCTGTTCCTGTCTGCCTGGAGTGCTGTCTTTACTTGCCTTCTGAAAAGCTGTGGTCACCTAGTCTTCCTCCATCTGTGTCACCTTTCCTCAGTTTTGTGTTTTGGACAACCCTCCCTCTGCTCTTTGATATAACTCAGTGTCCTCAAGACTCTGACCATGGTCATCTTCTCCCATGATGCACACTTCCTCCATGAGCTGTCCATTTCCACAGACACAATGGACATGTACCTGCATGACCCTTGAAACCATGCCAATGGCCCAAGTGGCTCTCCTGAGCTTTGGACTAGTATTTCCAACAACTTCCTGTCTGTTAAAACCCAGACACCCTACAGACAGCTCTCCTCAACTGAGAAACAAGGATCGCTTCTCTTATTTTTCTCTCCAAACCCTCTCCTGGACTCTCCCCAATTCGAGCCTTGCACTTAGAAGAACCAGCCCTTGAAGAGTCTACCTCCTCAAGTGTTTCTCTGACGAGGCTCCCCTCTACTCACACTGTCACTGTGCAGCTAAGTTTGGGTGCTTTTTTCTCTTCAGATCACCGCATAGCCTTGCAATGCACCTCTTGGATTCCAGTCTTCACATTAAGTCCGAAGTGACCTTGCTGAACTTCTCATCATGCCCTTTCCTTCAGGCCTGCTTATTCTTCACTGACCTTCTCTTGTTCTCAGGACCTTTCCTGTTCCCTGTTTCATGGTCTGGTCTCTCCCAGCCTGTGTGTTACCTCCGGGACTCCCAACTCATCCCTCAGCTACACAATGCTTTTACCTGTTCCCCTGCCTTTGCAAGGTGACTGTTGCTACTTCTGTCACCTAGTCTTTTCGGCTTCTGTGGAACAGGGTTAGATGTTGCCTTTCCCCTCTATCATGTTACCATGGGTTTGCCGGTACTATAACACCCTCCGTGATTTAATTGCCCATTCATCCTTGGAGTTTAGGAACTTTTTGGAAAGAAATTCTGTCTTATTAGTGGCTTTAAACCCAGACTCTGGAACAGCCCATTGCGCAATTAGGAGCTCAATAAATACTTCTGAAGTGAAGGAATGACCATTTCGTGTTTCACAGGGATGGTTTGTGATGAACACAGAACACCAGCTGAATGTGAGCTGTAGATGAGGGGAATGTTAGGGAGATAAGAGATGAATTTAAAGGGGATAAAGAATCAAAGAATCTCTCCTCCTTCCACAAAGTGTTGGAGCCAGAAAACCAGATGTGCCTTTATCCTCAGCCTTGATCTCTTTGGCAGGGGCAAGCATCTGCCACTCAGAGCTAAACCACTGCTGACCTTGGTGTTGCCATTTCAGGGCCCGTATGAAAAACAAACCCAGGCCAGGAGAGGAGCAAGAACCGCTTTCCAGTGTCTTTTCATAATGCAACTGGAAAAGAGGTAAAAGACTCACGAAAGGAGCAAACACTCTTAAAACACAGCTGTTTCCTAGGCTAAAGTTTCAGGAATATTTAGATTTTTTCTGTTTATTTAGCTGGATATCTTGAAACAAACAAGCTTATTACTTTCTGCTACAGGTTAAAAAAAAGACCAACATATTTTCAAATGATCTTGTGCCTCATTTGTCCTATTTATTGAAGAAAGGAGTGTACAGTTAGTATAATACCTGTATACTAGTTACTAAAACAGATTATGCAAGAATGCCAGGAACGCCAATGAAAGGGAAGCCTGGTATTCAAAAATAAATACAAGTGACTGGCCTTTGTCATAGCCACATGTACTTTCCACTGCACCTCTGCTCCCCAGAAGGTTTAATTTCTATCTGATGTCTCTTCAGACTCAGGGAGGTGGAGCCCTGGCCTTGGCAAGCACTGAGCTTGGAACCCACACTCTCTGGAGCAGCAGTATTGGTTCAGTCCTTGAGGCCAGTAACACTTCCAGCCCCAGGGAAACCTCGGTTCCAAATTTTTCCATCATTCCACAAGGGAGTTATTTTTGCAAAAGGCTTTGGCTGTTCCTGAAGTTTTCTCTCATTTTGTCTTTTAAAATGCAGTTAGTGGGGTTGGAACATTTCAGGGTTTTTTCCTCCCTCTTCACCCAGATGTTTCTGGTTCTCAGGATGTACACCTGTGAAGCCGGGTCACTGGGGAGAAAGGCTTGAGTTTTATTTACAGCAAAGACGAAAGTGAACTTCACATGCAAATGTTTAAAATGGTCATTTTGTTCTCAGGGCTCCACTGCAAGACCACTAGGATAGAGTTTGAAGGGATAGGAAAAGAAAATGTTGAGGCTAAACTCTCCAATTATTAGATATTTTTGGATGTCTACTCTGGCTCCTCAGCATTGATTTTGGTGCCAGGACTATAGAGGTGGGGAAGAAAGAAAGAAAGAAAGAAAGAAAGAAAGAAAGAAAGAAAGAAAGAAAAGAAAGAAAGAATTGTATTAGTTACTTTTGTTGTTGCTGAGACAAAATGCCCAAGACCCAAAGTTAGAAGAGGAAAGGTTTATTTGGCTCACAGTGTGCAGTTCATAGTCGGCTGGCTCCAAGACAGGGTGGCATGGCAGAGGAGCAGCAGAGAGGAGAAACAGTCCATGGCAAAGCATGCAAGCCCAAGGTAGCCAGTGATAAGCAGCAAGAGAGCCTCTTTCGGTCCCTCATAACTTATGCAAGCTACCCACCCGTAGGGCATGTCGTACTCACACCCAGGGTGGAGCACCCTTACTTTTACCCAAACTACGCCAAACCAATCAGCAGACTAATTTAGTGATCACAAACCTTGATCCCAGCATCACGAACTCCAGATCCAGCCACCTCTGAAAAGCCTCACCTGTGAGCGTATGAGGCTTTGGGGGACATCTTAACACAAATCATAATAGTCTTCACTCTGGTTAGGAAAGAAGATAGTGGAAGATAATAAACAAGTGATACATAATTTGTTAGATGAAATTTTTCTAAAGTTTGAGAGATAAATTTGTAGACTAAGCAGTCTACTTGTCACCATGCAGATGATCTTGCTTGGATGAGAGATAATTTGCAAATGACAAGTACAACATCCGACATGTAGTAAGTGCTCAATAATACTAGCTCCTGTTCTTTTCCTAGCTTGGGATGCCAATTCAACAAAAATATTTCTGCATATTGTTTTAGGATCACATTTAAAATTCCATTCATGATACTCTAGGTGTTTTCTCACATGTACTTCAAAACAAATTCTTTTAACTTCTACTTATTACCCACTTTCAAAGCTCTGTCCACATTTTCAAGTGTTTGTTAGAGAAGACGGTCTTAGTCTGTTCAGGCTATTGTAACAACATATCACAGACAGTGTGGCTTATCCACAGTAGGAGCTCACTTTTCACAGTTTAGTGTGTGAAAAAACAAGATGAGGATGCCAGCATGGTTGGGTTGAGAACTCTTTTCTGGGTTGCAGACTGCTGTCTTCTTGCATTCTCACATGGTGCAAAGATGCCAAGAAAGCTCTACTGAGTTCCTTGTACAGTGGCACTAATCCCATTCATGAAGGCTCCGCCCTAATCACCTCTCAAAGTCCCTATTTCCTAATAGCATCACAATCTGGGCTAGGATTTCAACATAGATACTAGGAGGGAATACAAATAGTCCACAACACACTAAGAATCTTTATGATAAGACTCACTTCTAGCAAAATCTATCAGTTAGCCTCAATCTTGAGAAACTTTAGAAATGGCCATAGCGATCATTCATATCATCAAAAGTAACTGTCATTCATTCAATTTATTCTAAGCAATTTTTTAGGGGGGTACTGTGTCCGGCGCCGCGTTTGTCCCGCAGAATGAGGCACACGAACACTTTGTCTCTGCAGGCTCCTTTATTGACTGGGCTACAACCTCAATACACGTCCATCCTTGACGGCTTCCTACGTGTTGTGCGTCGGGCACTTCCTATACTTGGGCTTATATAGCTAATGTTATCCAATCATGGGATTACACGTGGGGACAGGCGATTGGGCGGCAACAAGGAAGCAATCAATCATTACCATATATGGCGGGGACAGTAAGCCGAGCAAGAACCAGGAAGCAGGATGTGTGCGCCATCTTGGGCACACGATGGGCGGGGGAGCAGCGAGGCGGTAGGCGGACGCCATCTTGTGGCTATATTCTCATGGGTAATACGGCAGGCTCCCAACAGTACTGGGAATTGAACTCAGGACCTTGCACTTGCCAGGCAGGTGTTCATGCCACTGAGCTGTATCCTTGGCATTCTAAGTGATTTTTACAATAAATATCACCATAAAAACTACAGTTGGCCAAGCACAGGGACTTATAACAGGAATGTAGAAATAACGCAGCCTCTATTCTTGCTCTTATAAGCAATGAGCAGCAGTGACTCTAAAACAAGTAGTAAGAAAAGGCCCAGTAGATACACAGAGTTTTTGAGGCTCAGAGAAACAGAGGTTATGTTTGCATTTGGAAGGGTAAAGGAAGGTAGGAGAGATAACCTCTGTGATGAGCCATCCAGGGCTGTGTGGTTGGAAGGGCTGGAGAGGGAGACGGGCTCCATGGGTCACGCTGTTCTGTTAAAACACAGTGTGTGTGCGGGATGTGGTGGGAGACGTGTCTGGAAGGGAAGCTTAGGGCTGTAACATGACTGCTTGCCATGCTGGGGCAAGGAGTTGGTATTTCATGTGGCCAGTGCTGTGGTAGATTCTGTAACCTTTGAACCAAATGGAATGTGAATGGCTCTGCATCAAGCAGCTTGGGGGCTACTCTGTGAGGAAAGGCAAGTTCAGTGGGAGGCGGTTATACCCGTGAGTTTAAGGGCCTGAGGACTACAAGGATAGCTGTAGCACAGGGAAATTTTAAAAGGTTAGATTGAAGATAGCAAATGATCCGGATGTATTGTCTTTGTGATACCTCTCACTGTTTGAAATTGTCTTGTCCATGTGTTTATAATATTTTTCCTTTCTAGATTTTAAACTCCATAAAAGTAGGGACCTTGTCTCTCTCCTTTGCTGAATCGCTGGTCCATACGATGCTTTCTGAAACATAGTAGTATTCAGTAAATACATACTGAATGAATGAATGACGGTGGTAGAAACAGAACCGGCATCGTGATGAACAATTGATTCAAAACAAGTGGGAGGCAGGAGTGTAGAGGTATTATGAGGACATTTCCAGCCTGTTCCCTGGAAGAATGTGAAATACCAGAGCCTCCACTGCTGTCCCACAAATCAGCTTACTTCCTTTTATGTTTTCACTGTGTATCTTTGAGAGATGACTTTTTCTTTTCGGTGACTCTTGGCATGCTCTTTAGTTCAATCGATCTTTTTATATTGTCATTGTCGATTTGTTGTTTTATTTTATGTGGGCTTTTTCTTATTTTGTTTTTGATCAGAGGCTTGGCACAGAAGTTTGTCTTGCATTTTTTATTGAGAATGTTTATAGCAGATGCCAAGGCCCCTTCCCTCTTCTGTTGGTAAGGTTTCAAGAACCTTGGAGGTGTATACAGTGAATCACCAAGGTGCATCTGTAACCAGTAAGAAAAGAATCTAGTGCTTGGCAGGGTGCAAACTCCTACATGTAAAGAAATTTAAATCCTGCTTCCAAGACTTAAAATATTCTTTAAGAGGCACTACGTTTTCTGAGTTACTTTTATACTAAATGAAGACAGGAAAGATGAATTTTCAAGTCTAATACACAGGTTGAGGGCAGGTCAGAAGTAGAAACTGCCTTAAGAAACTGGAAAAGACCAAAGCACATGTAACTTAGAGTGAGTTTTTGAGAGCTGACCTGGTAGCTTTAAGGAAATGGGGAATACAGAGGCTTTTAAGTGCAAGAATTACGAAACCAGGAATTGGGGCTAAAGAATTGGTTGCCATCTGCTGTATGCAGTGCTTTTGTCACCAGAGAAGGTCTGAAGAGGCTCCCAAAGTGGAAATGGGGAACCTTGCCCAAGCCCACCCACAGGGAGTGGGTACCAAGTTGACTGACTGCCATCACAGAAAAGTCTTGTTCTACTCGGGGTTGTGGTGAAAACATTCTCCATGGGGAGGAAAGTGCCTGAAAGTGATGATTCATGGGAGCAAGAATCGTGGAGGGATTTTCTTTTTAGATGTGTTTCTAAAACATGGCAGTGCAGATGGCGTGAACACTCATCAGCACCGAGGTACTAATAGGAAGTTCTAAAAGCAGCTTTAACAAGGCCCAGGGACAGTGTGGAGAGGCGAACGGTGCTGATGGGGGCAGGAGTAAGTTTGTGACCCTCCCTTATACCTCAGTGCACAGCTCCAGGAGGTCATTCGTATGCAGCTGGTCAACAGAGTTGTGCACTGGGGAGAGGCCCCATAAACTGTAGTCACTGTTGCAGCATTCCAGACCTTCCTTGGAGTAGTAGTATAAAGAGAATACTACCGTCTACTAGAGATTCTGTGTGGAGGATGTTAGGGTTATTTTGGTTGCAAGCAACAGAAGCAACTGAAATAGCTTAAACAACGAAGATGACCTGTGACGCAGTTCTGGGCCTTCCAGGGTAGAGCTAGCCTAAATTTCTGTCTGTTAGTATTGTCTTCCTCTGTTTGCTAATTTTGCTGTCTCCTACTGTTGGGTTTGCCTCTGTGTTTTGCTAGTGTGATTGGGGTTGGAAGGTGGTGTGTGTGTCTGTGCGTGCATGCGTGCGTGTGTTGAAGGGGTTGGTATGAATGATGCTTTCCTTGGCAGCCCCATCAGAATCACACGGAAAGGGAAGAGCAGTTTCCCCTCTAGAAGGTCTTTGTTATCTTCTCGACTATGGCTGGGGTGAAGATCAAAATAAAATGTATGTAAGAGGACTTGAGAAAGGGTGCTGAGTCAATAATCACATCTGTTTAACTGTGTATATTAAAATCACTTCTTTAAAACGTTTTTTTCTTCCTTGTTGACACAGTATCATATTCTTAAAGAAAGTTCACATGAAACATTTCGTGCAAAAAAGATCTTCTTTTAAGGCCAATTTATAGCCTTAATTAATATGGATTGGCGAGTGATTATGCAATTTGTCTAGAAGCGAATATCGCTGGAGTAGGTTCATAATGACTATTTTATAGAAAAGCCAGTACATGGCGTGTGTTTTGTCATCTGGTTCCAGTCTCTGTTTGGCAACAAGTCTCTGTACGTGGCTCTGTTCGTGCAGCCAAAAAATCTCGCGTACTTCACAACTTGCCACTCTTCAAAGATTTAGTTAGAAACTGAAGCTTACAGCACATGCTGCTGGATTAAGCATCTTAAGTGAGAGTCTCATGGGCCCAAAATATCTCTTGTACCCACACATTTCCTGGTAGGCCAAACTTCACAAAATAAACACAGATGACCTCTCTCCCATCCACTCTTCCGGAAAGTTTAGAAATGATGCAACCTTTTGGCAGCGTGACACGACACATTGCTTGATTTGAGCAGAGCATGAACTTCTTCATTCTGTGCGAATGTGGACAAACAGACATTTACATTTGCGCGGCCCCAGATTCTGAAACACGATGGCATCCACTTTACCAAGATGAGCTGTTAAGTAAGTGGCCTTGGTTTGGGGGAAGAAGGAGTCCACACGTGAAACAGGACCCATGGTTGCTTCATGGTGACACCCGAGACATATGAGAAAGTAGAAGCTGGCTGTCCTGTCAATACTAGGTTTCTTTCTCTTTCTTCATACCCCTGTGTGCAGGAGTAACAATGTCTGGAATCAATCGATCCTCTTCGGAGAGGGGGAGTGTTTTCCCACACATGACGCTGGCCCGTTCACTCTTTGCCTCTGCAGCAGAGTGTGGGCAGTGCAATCTCACACTGCTCTCCTGCCTGGCCTGATTGTCGCTGCTGTGAACTCAGCTCTCCGCTGTTTCCTTTCCAGAAGCGCTGATTCGGATTTTCTTAATAAACATAAATAAAACTTTGATGTTGGTCAGCATGTTGTGTGCCCCTCTTTGACTAATTTCAGATTTTTTTTTCAGATTTCTGGATGCAAGAATTGTTCCCTTACCCATTTCCCAGAGTTTGTATGGTTTTCAACATTTTCTTTTTCTTGAAATTTTCTAAGAAAAACTTTGTGTTCTCTACTCCTACTGAAATAGGTAATCAGTATTTAGGAGCGCCATAATCTGTAATTTTTGTGCTTAAGTGGGCAAAACCTTACTAAGGTAGTCTGGGCATAAAGCAGGACCTGTTGTACTGTAGGGCTTTTTACATGCTGGTCCCAACCTGTTTCTCCAGCTTGTTACTCCCTGTGCTGTGTCCCTGTCACTGTGCTGCTCACACGGCACAAGTGACCAGTTGCTTCCGTTTCTAATCTGTCAAGGCCTCCGCTGTGTTCTTGCTGTGCACGGCTAGTGTGCAACTTGGGCACCGTGCAAATTCCCACAAGCTCTGCATGGCCTTGTCCAGAGGAAGAGTTCATTGTTCATGCAATGCCGGGCTGCTAATGCTTCTCAGTTCCTTTATTTGTAAGGTCACAGGAGTGACACCCGATTCACAATCCCCTGGCCACAGTTTGAGTAGTGTAACCCTAGGGTTCTACCTTCAACAGATTCTCACTATGTTTTGGACAATCTTAGATGATATTGGTTTGGCACTTTGAGTGGATCCCTCAGCCTGGTGCCCTATTACTCTACTTGTGTCTGATTTAGCCTTACTCATCTTTGAAATCTCACCTTGTTTCTTAAAATTGAGGAATAATTCACATAGAAAAAAATTCATCAGTAAATGTAGCGGGCTTTTGAACATCTACATTTTTGAGCAACTATCACCACTGTCTAATTCTAACCCATTTCTCTCAGCCTTGAGTGAAGCCTGTGCTCATCTGTGGTCACTTCCTTTTGCCTCTTGCTGGTTGGCTCTGCTTGCAGCCTCTGTGAACTTCCTCATTCTGGAGTGTTCCTATCAATGGGATCATATGATACCCAGTCTTTTGTGACATAGCATGATATTTTCAGAGTTTTTGTATATGGTGGCATATCAGTTCTTTGTTCTGTTTATGGATAAATAATATTCCATTGCATGGAGACTCCATCCTTTGTCTATGCAGCAATTGATAAATATTTCAGTTATTTTCACTTTTTGGTTTTTAAGAATAACACTGCTAGGGGCAGGGATTTAGCTCAGTGGCCCAAGTGCCTGCCTGCAAGCAGGAAGTCATGAGTTCAGTCCCTGGTACCAAAACAAAACAAACAAACAAACAAAAGACTAACACTGCTAGTAACATGTACTAGTTTCTGTTTTTATTTTCATTTTATTTATCTATTTACTTATTTTTGGAACCATGGATTGAACTTACAACCTTGTACTTGCCAGGCAAACATATAATAGTTTTTATTTTAACTGAGAAAAAACATTTAATACAGGCCTTATAATGCTTTCTTTCTATTTTTCTTAATTCCTAGAAATGGTTCCTGAAAGAATGAATATTTAATAAAATGAAAATATTTTAGGCTATTGGCATTTGTTTCTTTGTACTGAAAGAATTTTTATTTTTTATTTTAAAGAAAAATACATACAAAATCAGAGTTTCACATCAGACTAATAGAAGAGTAACAATAATCATACATTGCATATTGTTGTCTTCATTAAGTAGTTACTCAGAGTACAAGATATAGGCATGCAATATCATTCAAACAATATTAGCACCAATCTTTCTCTTCAATGAACTAAGAGAAATTAGCTGTATAACTATCTTAACTATCTTGTGTGTGTATATATACGTAAGATAGTAAGTATACACAAGATAGTTAAGATAGATATATATACATATATATGTGTGTATATCTATCTTACATGTATATATGTAAGATATATATATATATATATATATATATATATATATATTCTCTTTTCTTTCCTTTCCCCTTTCCTTCAACAGTTCAGAATATTTCTCTGGAATTATTATTCTTTTAAAAGTACCTGCAGTAGCTTTGTTGTTTTCCTTTCAGTGTTGTATTATTTGGTCCTCTAAGGTTAACTTTGTGAGGATTTGCCAGACCATTTTCTAACGTGGCTGTACAATTTTACATGCCTACAAGCAATGTGTGAAAGTTCCGGTTTCTTTATATTCCTGCCAACATTTGTTATTTCTGTTTTTCTCCTCAAAAAAATTATAGCCTGCCTAGTGTGCAATATATATATATATATACGCATATATTTATGTCTGTAAACTCAATTTTTCTCCTCCCCGAATGAATCAATCTTGTTCTTCTCTCTGCTATCAGAAGAATATATGGTATAGGAAGATTGTTAGAGTAGCTGATGGTGGAGGGGGCTTTATTATATGTTAGGTGCTGTGTAAGTGTTTTAAATGTGTGAGGCATCAAATCCTCATGTCTTTGCGGAAGGCTGGTCTTACCATCTCCATTTTATAGAAGAGGGCATGAGTAGAAAGTATATTGTCCAAAATTATGAGTTTACAGGAAGGATAGTTGTAATTTCAACCTCTGGGCATATCTGATCCCAAAGATAATGCTCTTAACTCTCAAGTTTTCAATAACTGGGAGCTAGTAATATTAAATCTCTCTTTATAGCACACTCATGTTGCTGGGGTTGTGGTTCAGTGATAACATGCTTCCTGCCCAGCATGTGCAAAGTCCCGGGTTCAATGTCTAGCACTGAAAAAAAAAACCACCCAGATGCAACACTGGATTCAAATTTGAACAGAGGAATTTAAATAAATGTGTTTTTATAAAAACAAGCTGGTGGTGTCCAGTTAGAACTGGCTATGATTCATTCCTGAAGATTTGATGGAATTTTATCCTTAAGTTTTACTCAAGAATGTTTCTATGAAGTACTGTCGACAGCTCTCATTTTTCTATTCAGATGTCTTATATCTAAGCCTTAATAAATTGTCCTACTTCTAAAGCTATGTCACACCCAGCGTTTAAAACTCTGTGAAGTGTCATTTATTTATTCCCAAACATCCACCAGTCTTATCTTATGTTGATTGCACCTTTGAATTTAATCTTGCAGAAGACTATTTGGAATTCACATGATGCGTATTTATTAACATCTCTTCTGAAACTGGTATGTGCAAGAAAGATACTTTTTCTCTACCAATTTCCTCTTTCTGAAAAATGAGACAATTCAAGACACTACCACTCGGGAAATTGTTGCTATCTTCTGTTTTTGCAGGGGTTTTTGTAACACATAATTTTTATTTAACCTAATTACTAGCTGGGCATGGTGGTACATGACTATAATTCCAGCATTTGAGGAGGCTGAGGCAGAAAGATCGTAAGTTTGAGTCCAGCCTGGGCAATTTAGGAACTTGGTGAAAGTATGTCTCAAAAAAAAAAAAAAAAAAAAAAGTGGGGGATGCAGATCAATACAAAGGCCTTACATTCAAACTCTAGCATTAGAAAACAAACCAAAAAGCTAATTATTATGTTACTAGGTGTCTTATGGTATGTGTGCCTACACTTTGCTACATTTTAGAGATATTTCTTCAGCACATTTCTCAATTTTTCCAAACTGCACTGCCATATCTTTGGCATGGGTATAACAAACTGTGGTTATCTTATATCCTGATATATCCTTATTTCATTAAAATGATAGTTGTAACATATATGTATAGATATATACCTGTATTTGTGTTCAAACTAGTAAAATATAGAAGTAACAAAAATAAATCTTGCAGTAAAAGAACTGTTTAAATTATTTGATCGTGAAGTTTTCCCTGTCCAATGTTTTCAAAGCAACGCTTCTATAAATAACTCAAGAGTCTATGTAGTGCCACCCTCCCCCCAGCTCTGTAATTCTCAGAAGGAGTTAATCACTTCCTCTTCCTTCCTGCGGAGGCCATAATGTGTCAAGGCATTGAGGATGTCGTGTTGCAATTTATTTATTTACAGGTCTGCTTGTCTCTGAGGACAAGACTCATGTCTTACTGTTTTACTAACATGATGCCTAAAGCCTAAAGGGTGCCCAGTCAATGCTATTGACTTGAGTGTCTGTCACTGTCATTGTTGACATGTGCACATGGCTCCAAGCCCAGGTGAGGCCACTAATGCATATAGCTCTGAAACAGGGCGGAAGAAAACCCTCACCTCTGAGGCAGAACCCAACATATTTAATAACTTTAGTTAAAGGGCCTCTTATGTGTTACTGTGAGCTTCAGATTGTGAATTCTCACCAAATACATCAGAAAACTCAATTTACTTGAATACTTCTGTGTTAGTATTGCTTCAAAAGAGATACCAGTATGCCATCCTGATGGCTATACCTTTACAAAATTCTTTTTATTCCCAAATACTGTTTTGTTGTTGAGCTTTGATTGAGCAGCAGCAGACTGTGTTTTCTGATCCGGAACAAAGTTAGGAAGAAACTGTTGGTGTCATCCTTTGCTTCCTTGTCCACAGTTTCTTTTACCATGTGCTCTTCATCAGATCGTGTTCTATTCTCTTGTCCCCCCAAGTTCTGTCTCAATTCACGTGTTTGCCACTAAAAAATGTGTTAAGGCCTGGGGATGTAGCTCAGTGTTAGGGTGCTTGCCTAGCATATACAAGGCCCAAGGTTCAACCCTCCCTACATAAAAACAAAACAAAGCCATGCTGGGTCTTGGAGGAGTATAATAAGAAGCCAATTCATCCTTCCCATGAACTGCACAAACCATAAGGAAGAGAAACAAGCCAGTTCACCCTTCCTGTGAGTCAGCAGAAGCCATGCTGGGTCTGGGAGAAGCACAAGAAGAAGCCAATTCACTCTTCCCATGAGCCACACAGACTAGGTAGGGCCCAAGAAGAGAGACAAAGCATGTCTCCCTCCACCTCCCCATCAGTAACCTGCTGATTCACAGGACAGGCTGAGTTGATGCAACTGAGATACAAAAACAACTTGCTGCTTGTATTGTTTGATTGACTTTGCAGGCCTAAGGCTAGTACTTTGAGCATCTACTAAGAGGGTAACAGTACTCAATATAGCACATGTACG